CCTTCACGAGCTACAGCTGCTGCCCAACTAAGGACCCTGCAGCTGCAGCTCGTTTGGAGCAACTCGGACCCACACAGATCCCACACTACAACATATATTCAGGCCCCCACAGTTAACTATATTTATATGAGAGCAGGAGCAAGCTGCTGCTCAGAATAGAATTTTCCTCAAGAGAGGAGACAAGGCACTTTTATCTTGCTGCTTTTCAGCTGACTAGGGCAGTGAGGGCTTTCTTCCTGACTCTTGAAGTCTTTGGATGGGAATAAAATACAGTCTGTAACATCAGCCTTTTGTACTCATTTTTTTAGGTCAGAACAGCAGTGCTGGGAAATTAAAGACTCTGTCTGGGGCCCTTGATATAATGACCAAAACCAAGGGTGCATTTCAGCTCATCAGGAAGGAGCTTGTGGCAGAAACTGAACAGGTAAAGGAGCTTCAGGTGGTGTGATATCTGCTCCCTTCTGGCTTGTGCCTTCATAAATGAGGGGGCATTTGGCACTTAAATATTCCTTGGTTACTTTTCCACACAGCCAGTGGCCTAAAGAGTGTGGGCAGTTAGATGTATTGCAGTTCTCACTTAAACTGGAAGTGGATTAAAGAAATTCCTTTAGAAATGATCCAGAGATGGATTAAAACATATTTCTGTGCAGATGTGGACTGCCTGGCTGTGTGAATGAACTTCCTTTGTGCAACTCTCCTATCCCTTAAAAGTCTTCTCTAAGAACTTCAGAATTTATCTATAACAGAAAAGTTCTCTGTCTGTGGTATATTTAATATTTAAATATTAAAACATGCAGGGCTGTCTGTAGCCAGTGTGAGTTATGTTCCTGATGCCTCAGACAAGAATTCCTTCAGGATGTGCTGATGTGTGTGTCCCTTGCTGGCAGTCTGGGTAACACATGTAAAAGTCAGCTCACCTGCAGGAGGGGTTTTTAAATCACTCCCTGTATTTAAGAGGTGGAATTCAGTGAAATTGTTTTGGGTTGTTTGTCTCCTGTAGATCAGCAAGGATAGAAGTCCTGCTGAGAGCGTGTCAGTGAGTGATTCCTCTGCAGGCCTCAACAAAGAGGAAGTCCTGAAACTGCTCGGGATTTTTGAGTCCAGGATGTCTTTCCTTCTCCTCCAGTCCATTAAATTGTTAACTTCAAGCAAAAAGAAGCTTGGGTAAGTTGGAACTTGGTGTTCTTTATCCTGAGTGTGGTGAGATTGGTGTGTGCCTGAGCAGAGTTCCTGGGGGAGCAGCTGCTGGGTGCTGCTGCTCTCTTGATGCATCTTGCTGATCAAATGTCAGTGGAGTTTGGCAAGCAGAACAGCTGAGCAGAAATTCAGGCACATCAGTGATGCTGCAAGGAGAGGGATGGATATGGGGGTCAGAGAATTCACTGATTCCTAATGGAGTCTCTGTCCTGCTGCTGGCATTCAGGACAAACTGAATTCTTTTTGTGCTGACTTTGAAGAGATGTTGAGCTTTGGTGTGGCAGCGAATTCCTTCCCCCACTCCTTCTGTTGCTTTGATCTGAATGTGTGTGGTGTTCCTTTTGGGACCCAGAAAATTCCTTTTACTCCCCCTGCAGCAAGTGTGTGACTGCAGGAGCTGCTGCTAATGTTACACAAAGTGAAGTTCTGAAAATGTGGCATTAGTTTGAGAGGATTCTTTTAGGCTTGGAAGTTGGGTTAATAGTTTTGGGGATTGAAGCCCTGCTGATGGAAGAGCTGTTTTGCTAAAAGTAAACTGTGAAATGAGTTCATTGTGCCCAGGAAGTTGTGTGCTGGTAGTGGGAGACTGATAAATAAAAAACAAGAGAAGAGAACACAGCCTGGGTGTGTTTTAGCTGTTTTTCAGGCAGTGTTAGGAGCTTTCACCTCCTAAAAAAGAGCTTCCACAAGGTGGCAATCTGAATATGTGAAACACAGAGGATTTTTACAGGATAATTTATATGTTACCAAGCAGATGTCACAGCTAACTGAGTAAATGGGTTAGTTCTGTTGTCTCATAACATGAGCAACTCCTCATTTTTGTTTTGGAGGGTTTTTGCCCCCACATTTACCTGGGCATCATTGTGAGGTTTTGCACTGAAGTTTCCACACAGGGAACCTGGGACTCTTAAAAAATCTCCTCAGCTCCTTGAAACTTTGAGTGCAAGCTTAAAACCTTTGATTTAACCTTTCTTGTGCCTTCTGTACCTCCTGTGTGCATTTCCTCCTTTCTGCTCTGCAGAGGGGAAGTTCTGCCCTCTGCTTTGATAATGGGATGAAAAGGGGGGAAATTGAGCTCAAATGCCAGTTCAGAGTCTCAGGTGCACTTTGGCAAAAAGCAGGAGAATGTGTAGGAAATGTAGTGTTGGATTGCCAGACCTGCAGCCTGGCACTCAGAATGGGTGAAATCAGTTGTACCCTCCCAAAGTGGAATCATGAGCAGAACAGAACTTGGCTGTGCAAATTGGAGGGGAAAAGTAATTGAAAGTAATTCTTTGTTCTGGGAATACTTGTAATTTATCCCAGAAATACTTTGCATTTCAGTGGCTATTTATTGACTACCTGTTCTGTTTAATAAATGAACCTGATTCCTGCCAAGTGTGTGATGAATTTAATTTGCTTCAGCCTTTCTCAGTCATTCCTGAAGCACTTGCAATTAACCTGACTGTTGCTTGTACATTTTATATTTTATTGTATTTATGTTTTATTTTCCTGCCTGCAGTATAAACAGTGCCCTGACTGCAGTGCAGGGAGTGGTGGGGGCTGAGGGTGTCCCAGTTATCCTGCTGGGATACTCAGTATCCAGTGTCCCAGTATCCATTGGCCTCAGGGACTCTCACTGCTCACAGTGACCCTGACATGTGTCAGAAAGTCGCTTTTCCCAGCCTGGACCTTGAAGGAGGAGTCAGAGCTCTTCATTTCTCAGTCTCAAGGTTGTTTATTGCTCCTTATCTATAAAATTCTTTCTCCTGCCCAGCCAAGGTTCGTTCAGCAGGACAGTCCAGGCACTCTGCCTGCCCTGGGGCTGTGTTATCTTTTTATACTAAAAACTACCTGTACAATATTTACCATTACTTCCCAACACCTATCACCTGTGTTAGACAGTGAGCTTCTACTCAAACCAATCCAAAAGTGCCAACATCACAGCAGAAGATGGAGGCCAAGAAGAAGGAGGAGAAAGGCTGGACATGCCCAGATCCCTCCATCTTGCCCCCTGAACCCCCATTCTAAAAACCCCAAAAATCTATTTTTCACCCTGTGATAAACTCACTGTCATTCTCCTTAAACTGTCATGGCTTGTAATTCTTCATCTAAGGTTGGTAACTTTCTCCATGGGTCATAATCAAACCCACAGGGGCACCCTGGGCTCTGTGCCAGGGTCTCTGAGCCCCCTGGCAGGGGTTTGGGCACTCCAGGACAGCCAGAGGGATGTCCTGAATTCTGACAGGTTGGGATACTCACATGTAATATTATTATTAACGTTACTTAATAATGCTGTTGATAATGTGTGTGGTGAGATTGGTGTGTGACTGAGCAGAGTTCCTGGGGGAGCAGCTGCTGGGTGTTGCTGGTCTCTTGATGCATCTTGCTGATAAAGGCAGAGCTGTGGTCTAAGCTGGGCTCTGTGCTCTCTTTGCAGGGGCAGCAGTGAGGAGGAAACAGCTCTGAGGACCAACAAGCAGGTTTATTCCCTGCTGCTCCGGGCCACTGCCAACAAGGGGCTGTCGCTGCTGGAGCGCTGCGAGCTGCTGCTGGGCCTGCTGGAGCAGCTGGAG